AAATTTTGAATTCCAATTTATTCACAAGTGACTGTTGCCGCTTGAAAAGCATCATTCGACATGCATCTATAATGATGCAAGGTATAGTTACATCAATCAGTGTCACAGCTTGACATAATTTTACTATAGCGTTTCCAGGGGCTGTATGCGTAATTACATCGCCATTTCATACAGATCCTTCGGCCTGTGAATAAATTAGAATAAATAATTAGACAATTACCGATACGATCGGCCAACAATTCCGGATCCACACGGAACGGGTGTAAATCCTTGAGAACGCGGCCTGAGCTTGGCAACACGGGAACCACGGAACACAGGCACGCTTCTTCAGGGCATTAACGAATTCATATATTCGTGGTTGGACACTTATCTCGCGACCTTGGTGCCCGCAACATACAGACACGATCGATTTCACCTTATTTTTAACCAGCATAAATTAATGGTTCGTGACATGGTGGGCGTGCCGTGACTTTCGATCGACTCTTCACCGACACTTCCCGCTGGTGGAAAATATTCCCGCATCTGTGGCGCATTTCCCCTCGGGTGTAACGCTCTCACGTCTGAATCGTTCCACCTTCAGGACTCGTTTCTCAATATCTTCTTTTTCTGCACGTCGCATTTCGCTCGCGAAGTTTCTCTGCGACGTAGGTCTGTATAAGTTTTTCCAATAGTGTTGAATGTGTTTCGTGCACACGTTCAACCCTTTCAGTACCTGAACATCTATATATCAGTTTCGCGGATTTCCGAGCTGGTATTTCGACTTTCTTTCACAATTGATCATGAGTTTTAGCTTATAGATAATATAAAAGTTTGTTTATAGACAATTTTTTTTTATAAAAGATAAGGCATTTTATCTTCCTGGAATCATTTAAATATTGTTTGAAACACTTGAACGTATTTAAAAATATTGAAATCTCTAATCTAAATTTATAAACTGTTGTTGCATTTATTTAAAATATACGTAAAACCAGGATCATCGATGTCAATTGAATTGTTACACGAGAGATTTCGCTGTTTTCAAATACCTTTGAATACTCGCGTTTGGTTGAAAACTTTTTGCCAGAGGCAGTATTAAAAATAAAGAAGACAATGGCTGTTCGTATACCGTCTCATTGCTAAATACCAAAGTGTTACGTCAGCATTTAATAATGAGGCAGCAGAATATAGAGAATATAGAGAAGAATTTCGAGACAAGATAAAAATTGACGGACTTCCTGACAGTGCGGTAGCGCGTGACGCACGATCGTCGTCGCTACTTTCAGTCATTTCTTTTCTCGTTGAATTATTGCCGTTGGTGAAAAACGCGCGTGACTGATCGTAATCAGCCCAAACTTGTCGCATTGCGCTGTCACGTATTTTTTTATGCCGTCGTTTCGTGGCTCGTATGCACGCACGTGAAACATCGCATTTTTTTTTTTTTTTTATCTAGGCCAGTAACCCCGGCTCGCTTGCTACGTTTTAATGTTTTAGAACATGTTCACGCAACAGAATTAATTCGCGAGCATCAAAGAGGGACCAAATCAACAAACGAACTTTTTCCCCCAAGTTTTGCATTTTAAGTTAAGCTAAAATGATCTCTTTAGGTTACAATGATTTAATAATGTTGAGATTTAATGATGTTTTGCTCTAAGAAATTATTAAGAAAATATTAAGAATTATTTGAGAAATATTAATATACAGTGTGTTACTGTATTATATTGCAGTAATTTGTTTTTACGTAACATGGACATTTATAAGTTCGCCGATTACGTAAAAGCAAGAATATTGTTTCAAAAGTTTCTGATACACGAAAATTATGCAACCTGCGATGCATCGCTGCATGTGCATGCAAAACGTATGCAACCGTCTATGTACATGCATTCAGTTACGCTTATCATGTCACGTTATGTTGAAATTCGATTCGTTTAGCACATAGTTTGTATAACGTACAATTCTGAGATCATTTGATGCTAGAACTACAACTAAAATAAAATTTATACCGGCGAAAGTGAAGTGGAAGAAGGGGAAATTACGAATTATGGAATTTTGACTATTTCGATAGTTGTAAAATGCTTAACGTGAAAATAAAATTTTGAACTAAAGTTACTTCTAAAAAGATATTTTACAGAAAATGACCTGTTACATCGACTGACATAAAAAAAATTGATATAAAATGAGACAAACAAGTTGTACCAAATTACTGTCTTCTCAACATAGAAAAAAAAAAATGCATTTGAGACATTTTTTTAAACGAAGATAATTTGGAGATAATTGCATTTATAGATTAAAATGAGGCAGCCTATATAAACAGAAACTGAAACCCAATTTTTAGAATCAGGTGTAAATCAGGGAACTTTCCTCCAATAAGAATCTCCCTCTTTCCTCTTTTCTATGAAACTCCGAACGAATCGTAGAAACGTAGAGGAGCAAACATATTGAATGACATATTCGTGTGCTGACAAAGACAAACATTGGAATTTCTGTTGGAATTTTTCAGATCGCCACTCGCACACATTCTCGTTGTTGCACCCAACGCCGATTCGTTCACTGTCGGATGTTCGACGGCTTCACAGATCGGCAGACGACAGCGTGCAACTGATGTCGAGCGAATAAAACGCGAACGTGCTCCGATCCGCGACCGGATCGAGATGGCTTCTCGCATTCAGAACACGAAACGTGCTTTGTCGATGATAAAACGTCTGCTGAGAGTTCCCGGATTCTTTCGGAGGTGTGTGTCCACCAGATCACGCACGATCACGAGGTACACACGAAAACGATTCCTGGAATCGCAAGTCTCGAGATGGAATAATTCTTCGATCCTCTTTAAATATTGTCGTACAGATTTTGGTTTGATAACGGGGCGGGAGTTTCGCTTCGACGCCAAACTTTTGAGGAAAGAATTTTGAACCTTTTTTATGTTTCGAGAGTCGTGAGAGGACATTATCGGTTTAACGGAATATGTATTTGTAGTTGTGTGTACTCTGTCTCGGAGGAAACAGAAATATACTCGTTGCGAAATTGATAACACCAAAATGAGAAATCGTGGTGAAAGTATTTAACATTGTTTTATTCGTTTTGATATATTGGACGAGAAACTAGCGATCGAAGTGAATATGCGCTGTGATAAACGCACAGGGGCGTTTGACATGCAGTCAGTGCACCACGGTTTTAAACAGTCTGCACGCAACGTGTTTGCGTTTAACATTAAAACGGTTAGCCAGATGATACAACGTTTAAAAAAATGAAAAACAAAACCGACGTCTGTTTCCACATGAAAGTTTCAAAGGTACAGCATCTATTTTTTAAGACAATTAAGCGATTCGATTAATCCTTTACGAGCCGAGGGTCTCGCTTTTTTCTGCAAGTTTATCCACACGTTCCAAGGAATCGCGAAGTGAAGTTCTTTGTTACACTCGCTCGTCGATGTAGATACTCGTGAAACGATTATTAAAGTAGCATAAAAGAGCGTCGTAGTTAAAAACCAGGGAAATTATACGCTGCCAAAACATTTAGAAATATTCTTATTCAAAATTGTAAGTCAATTGGAAGACGATATATATATATATATATATATATATATTCTTTTAAAAAAAAAAGAATATCTTACATATTTTCTTTCTAAAAAATTTACTTTGAGCATTGTAATGTATTTGCAATGTCGAGGAGTGAGTGTAATTCAGAGAATTCTTGAGAGAATCGAGTTCTATATTAATTGCAAGTTATTCCGACGCATTTACCTATCGAGCCTAGCGTGTTTGAATGATCGCGCGATTCAACAATCGATCTTAACGTAACGACATAAATAAAAAGGCCTATGGTTTGATCAAAGACGATTATCTTTATTATCACTCGAGTCGAGCAATTATAATGGCGTTTTTAGTTTCCGTTGCGCGCGTGTTTCAAGTCAATTCGTACGTACAAATACGTGTGCCCGTTTCTAATGTGCTTCGATCACGCAGCCACAAGGAACAGGAATACAGTGACGTTTTAATTGTTGCAATAATTGCAATAGATCACGATTAGTGTTCACTTCATTTGACTAATATAATAGAAAAAATTTTATATTTGGGAATTTTCTATCAACAGTGCAAAAAAAAAACTTTATTTTAAAATAAGTTATTTGAAATATTATTTCGATATTATTTTCGGTATTATTGCTACTTGAAACTAAAATGCAAGTAATAACGTTTTAGTTTAGAGTATCAATTATTTCAAATGAGAAAAAAAAATAATTTTTTTATTTCAACTATCGCAGAACAATGTAATTCTTAAACTAATACAAGTAATCATCAAATCAAACATCAAATTGTATTGTTATCAGCAAGAGTGATCATAATGAGATGTACGAATTATTTCATTATTTCAAATTCGATTATTTTATTATCTCGAATTTTATATTTTAAGTAAACTACGTTTGTTCCCCGATATATACAAGCGAGGTTCCATTGTGTTATTTAATTCTAAATTAAGTTTTGCAAAAAGTAACAGCGGAATAACAACATTCACTGTGGATAAATAACATGATATTTTGTACGATCGCTCAAATTTAAGAACAGCATATTTCTGCTCGAAATATCATCTCGCGAAGATCAATAACAGTATACTGTTATTATGTATAATTGAACAGCTTCTTTTACGATTGCTTTGATTGCATCGAGAAAAGTTATCGAGCTTACATTGTTGCTGTTATTGTTAATTAGTCTATGCATTAATCTGCACAAATTATTTTTTATTAATAGCGCGTATATTTTCGATGAAGAAATTATATATAATTTTAGCGAGAAATGAAGAAGGCAGCATGTGAACTTCTTTTAGCGAATATGTACTTATTAACAAATATATATATATATATATA